AGGTCAATCTTGGACCAGCTTTTAAATCTCTGTGGGTAAAATGAAAATTCTTGTGCAGTACGGTACTTTAGTGCTATTTCGCTAGATGAACTGCAGTCAATGGAGTCATCAGGACAGCAGTTGAAGTCTGACCTAATCGCTGCAAGACAACAACCTCTCCCCACAAAGTTTTTGGATAGAAGAAGAAGAAGAAGAGTTTTGGATTTGATATCCCGCTTTATCACTACTCTAAGGAGTCTCAAAGCGGCTAACATTCTCCTTTCCCTTCCTCCTTCCTCCCCCACAACAAACACTCTGTGAGGTGAGTGAGGCTGAGAGACTTCAGAGAAGTGTGACTGGCCCACGGTCACCCAGCAGCTGCAGGTGGAGGAGCGGGGAAGCGAACCCGGTTCCCCAGATTACGAGTCCACCGCTCTTAACCACTGCACCACACTGACTCTCAAGGCCCAAGAAGCTGGAAGTGACATGCAGAAATGTGCACATATGACCACAATTCTGCTGCTGTGGCCTCCTTGTCACATGCATGGAAAAATGCTTGCATTTTTAAAAAAACAACAACCCATAATCTTATTAATCTAGATTTTCAAGATAGCCTACAAAAGAGAACCATAAAAATATATAAAGCAGATTTAAGACATCAGAAGCAAAAGCAATTATTGTAGCAACAGTAAAAATACAAAAAAAAAGTAGATATAAAATCAGTTAAAATCCTGGGCAATCTTTTTTTACAAAAATGTCTAAAATGTGGCTCTTTGGGCAACCCAGTCAGGTGGCGGCTTATAAATAATAGTAATTTTTATTTTAAAAGCCTACAGGGTGGCAGGGATATTTAGATAAGAACCTGTTAAGTGCCACACTTAACAAACAGGAAGGTTCCTTTTTTAAAAAAGAAAAGAAAGCTAACATTTTCAATGACTATATCCCCACCACAGACACCTCTGTGATGATGATGGCGTTAAAATATCCTGTTCTTCATTAAAAGAGAAAAAGGGAGACCAGATTGTAACAAAGGTATCTTTTTAGGAGATGCCCTCAGGTGAGGCATTCTGATAGAGCAATACTCCCTCTGTTTCCTTTCATCGTTGGGCAATAACTAGTCTAGCTGCTGTGAACAGGTAGGAAGTTAATTCTTTAGATTTAATGGTGGAATTTGGGGGTCAAATCTAGTGATAATAAAGCAAGTGCCAAATTAGGAGGGATATATTGTTTGTAATTTTGAAGGTCAGATGAAAAGCTTTTTGCAAAAGGTGTGGACCACAGTACACTCCCACCAAACATGAAAGGAGGAACCTCCTTCTCCACAACCTTTCCAACATAATGGTGAGCTTGAAGGATTCATCTTTGCAAGGTGTGTGGGAGTCCAACGCCACCAAAATATAATTTTAAGGGAGATTTCCTGGAGGCGAGCTGAAATTGTTTTTAGAGATGGATTAGGCCATATAGATTCCCATGCTTTTTCACTTATTGAGGTTCCTATGTCAGTTTCCCATCTCATTTGAGTATCTTCTGTGTTGCCCACAAAGCTGTCTAATATCATCGAAACTGCCCCTTTTGTGTCATGGCTCGGTCTGTTACATAGCGATTCACAAGGTGTCCGGGGTCTCAAGCCTTCAGCCCTGCATTTCAGAGACTTTGCAAAAGTGCATAGTTGATCCAGTTGTAACCAGGACCATTTTATGCCTTTTGTCTTTGCCATCAGGTCCGCTTTTGAGATTGCCTTACCTCTTACAAATATTAGATTTTTTTACTGAGGGGCAAAAAAATCATTCTTTGAGAGAGCCAAAAGTGTAGAGTTAAACTAACCCAAAGAAAATCCTGGCTGCTGCTGAAATAATATTCACAGACTACTGGAAGCCTAAAGAGGCAAGCTGCTGTCATCTTTCGCCACTGGAGTAGCTTGTTATATAAATTAGCATCTGAACCTCTAAAATTTCTATTTTAGAGCAGTAAAAAATTACAATATGGCAGGCTGAGCACATCTGAGCCCATGAAAGGTGCCTCCCTACTTGAAGTTGCTGTAAGACCAAGGGCTCCTTGGCATGCATCAGAGGAAACAAGGAAGTCAGACTCCGAATACACAACTTCCCCTGCCCTTCGGCTTACAAACTTCTGTGCTGGCAAAAGCAGCAATATTTTTTCTTTAAGCATTTGTTGAAGAAATTTATGGCCCATCGTTCCCTGGTCCTTCCTCTTTTTCACAGGGCCGCCCAAGCTGTTTTTCCACCTGAGACAAAACAGCAGATGCACTCCATTCCAAGAGAGAGAAAGCCAGTGGTCAGTTCAGCCATGGGTGCCGTCCGTGACAGGGGCTTCCTCTTGCGGCCAGCTCAGACTGAAGCCAACCGAGAAAGGGCAGCCTGGTAACCACAGTGCAGATGGCAGGCTGTTTTCTTTGTTCCACAGGGAGTGGGTGGCAGGTGGTGGCCATGAAACATGGAACCGGCTGGCAGCAATAAGGGAAGTTAGAGGCCAGCAAGCAGTCAGGTCTGCCGCCTGGATGGCTGCAGTGTGAGGGTAAAACACACAGACCAGCAGAACAAGCCTGTGGCAGACAGACCTCTGGTCTGAGGTTGGCATCTTTGGCTGCCATGACATTATTTTATTAGAGGGACTACCAGATCGACTTCTGTGCCCATATCCTGCTATGAAGTTTGGGCACCACCCCCAATCACTCCAGGCACTTGCCCAGGGTTGTGTTTTTCCGTTGGGAAATCTAGGCACAGTGGAGACTGGTGGATACCCTCCAACATTCCTCAGATGAAAATAGGAACATTCCTCACTCCCCTCCCAAACTGACTCTCCTCAACCCCTCCCCTATTTTGTGTCCCCCTCCCCTCCCTATCAGGAGGAGGGCAAGGGCCACCACTTCTACACCAATGGGACACAGCACACACAACTTCCACCGTCCTGAGAAAATTCCTCAGTTCCGATTTTATTTTATTCTTTGATTCTCTCCACCCAGGGTTCCTCTGCCCTTTGCCTGCCCCTCAGAGCCGGTGCATCATGTGGGGCTGGGCTTTGGTGGCCCCATATCAGGGCAGCGCTGGAGTCCAAGGCATCCTGCATGCCAGCCTGCCAAGGTGGTTCTGCCCCACCTGGAGTTCTGGCTCCAGCCTTCTCCTTCCCAAAGACTCTTGCCAGAAAAACTCAAGTCTCTCCCTTAAACGATACTCCCCCCCCCCCAGCCTCCCACCTCCCCTGTTTTCCAAGTCATGGAAGCTGAAATCCTAAAGCCTTCTCTGCCCACGGTAACCATGGCAACTCCCACCTCTGCCCTGATGATGGTTTTCATTGATATGGTAATGACTTGCTTCCAGGACTTCTCCCTATTTTATTTTATTTATTTATTTTTATTTTATTGAGTGCCCTTGCACCCCCAAACTCTGCACCCCTGATCTGTAACAATACACATGTATGTGTGAACTCAGAAGTAATGATTTGGAGATCTTTGTTGTAGACATTGGTGCATCGTCAGAGTGTGTTTTGCTGGGGGTGGGGGAGGCTTAGCAATGATTATAGTATTTATTTACACAAAATGGCCAATGGAAAAAATAAAATGGTTACCGTATTTTTTGCACCATAACACTCACTTTTTCCCTCCTAAAAAGTAAGGGGAAATGTCTGTGCGTGTTATGGAGGGAATGCCTACGGGTGGCATGCCTACGGATTTTCCTCCTCTAAAAACTATGTTATGGTCGGGTGCGTGTTATAGAGCGAAAAATATGGTAGTTGTTAGTTCTGCAGCCCACCCCTTCTGTATTGCACAGGCCATCTACTTGAGCAATTCTAACAAAAATCCAGATACACTTAGATACGTGCATTTTATGGAGCTTTGAGGTGGGTAGTTAAATCCAGCAGAATTGAAAGGGAATAAATAAATATTTATGGGAGATCTGAATGGGGTAACATCAACTGAAATGGACAGGACCACCAGAGATATTATTTCAAATGAAGGTAAATTACCATTCACCTTTTTTCAAATGGTGGAAAATTTTAATTTGCATGATCAAACACCCAAATGAAAAGGATATTACCCATTTCTCTGAAGCGAAAAAATCAGGAGGTAGAATTGATGGAATATTAACACTAATATTAATACTAATATTAATTAATAAATAAATACTAAAATTAAAAAAGCAGAAATTCTAAGCAGATTAATATCAGATCATGATCCAGTGACAATACATATTACAGTTAAAAAACAAACAAGGGGGAGGTTGAGACTGAATGATGAGATATGGAATGATGAACATCTAGTCAAAAAAAGCCAAAGAGATGCTAATAGAATTCTTTGATATAAATTCAAAACAAGGAACCGACATAAATACAATATGGGATGCAAGCAAAGCTTACATGAGGGGCTTTAGGATTCAACAGATTGCAAGAAAAAACAAAAGAAGGGAAAATAACATTCAACAAATAACAAACCAGATAAGAGAGAATGAAAAAGAATTGATTAAAAAAAACCCCAAAATGAAAAAGCCAGACAGAACATTTAGATTTTACAAACACATATTTCAAATCTATTAAATAAAGAAGTAGAAAATAATATCCAATGGATGAGACAAAGAAGTTTCGAATCGGCCAATAAGCCTGGCAGGATGTTAGCTTGGTTAATAAAGAAAAGACAAATGGACAAAATTATAGGTAAAACAATAAACCATGGGGAAGAAACAGTAGATCCAGAAAAAATTAAACTGAGTTTTGTAAACTATTATAAAAAAATGTACAAAGCAGAATACAAAGATGAGAACAAAATAAATGATTATATACAACAAAATAGATTACCAGAAATATCAGAAGAATACGAATATTTAAATTCAAATATTGAAAAAGAAGAAATAGTACAAGTAATTAAAAAAATGAAAGCAGGGAAATCACCGGGCCCAGATGGAATATCAACTAGTTATTACAAAACATTAGAAGATTATGAACAACATACTAGAGAATGGGAAAACTCCAGAGTCATAGAAAGAAGCTTTAATAACTTTATTAAAAAACAGGGAGCAGATTTGACAAATACTAAAAATTATAGACCAATTTCATTATTAAATTCGGATTACAAAATCTTTACAGGCATATTAGCAAATAGATTAACAAAATATTGAATAGAATAATTAATGATGACTAGGCTGGCTTCCTGGCGGGAAGAGAACTATACAGTGGTACCTCGGGTTACATACACTTCAGGTTACATACACTTCAGGTTACATACGCTTCATGTTACAGACTCCACTAACCCAGAAATAGTGCTTCAGGTTAAGAACTTTGCTTCAGGATGAGAACAGAAATCGTGCTCCGGCGGCGCAGCAGCAGCAGGAGGCCCCATTAGCTAAAGTGGTGCTTCAGGTTAAGAACAGTTTCAGGTTAAGAACGGACCTCCGGAACGAATTAAGTTCTTAACCCGAGGTACCACTGTATAATAATACAAGAACAGTAATTGACTTATTAGAATATTTGGAGATGAAACGAAATAAAAGACCTGGCCAAATTTATCTGGCAAAGTAAAAAACCGAGAATAAAATTTGAACTATTAAGGGAGATTAGAGACAGAGAAGGATTTGCAGTCCCAGATCTCAAATTATACTACAAAGCAACAAGCTTTGTATGGCTCAAAGAATGGATACAAAGCAACAAGCTTTGTATGGCTCAAAGAATGGATAACTATAAAAAACACCAAAATACTGGACATAGAGGGGTGGGGTAACCTCTTTGGATGGCATGGTTAACTTGGGACATAACAAAGTGAAGAACCACAGAGGGTTCCTTAACCATATAGTAAGGAAAGCCTTATAAACAGTATGGGAATGATATAAAACACTATTGGATCCCAAAACTCCATGGTGGCTTTCACCAGTCGAGGCAATTGCCGCCCACAAGGAAAACATGGGGAACAATTGTTTGACATTGCCTCTCTCCACCTGGCCCAGGGAGGGGGCCTGACAGGCTTCATAAGGGCTGTTGCTGCTCAGCGGAAAGTACTGCTGTTATGTACTGAAGTTCTCACCCTGGGCCAGCAGGGGGATACTGTAGATAGTTTTCACTCAGGTCCACATATACAAATAAGGGATTGAAAGTGATGTTCAGTGATTGGATAGTTACAGAAAATGGTTACTGTTGCTTTGTAGTTGAGCTCTATATAAGCAGGCTGGATGAACCCTTCAGTTCAGTTCTGTTCTAGCCTGTGAATAAACAAGAGCTGTTTGAAGAATCGCTGTGTGGTCTGATATGTTCACCCACAACTTAACAACCACTTCTTCTGTTAAATTGCTTAATTAATAAAATATATATAAATTAATTTTTTTAAGTGTTCTATGTCCTTTGCCCTTTTAAAATGTGTTGGGGAAGTTATTTATGTATGCTATTACAGCAGCTTGGATTTTGTTAGCCCAAAAGTGGAAGGTGAGAGAGGTTCCCAAGAAAGAGGAATGGCAGCTTAAAATGATAGAATATACAGAGTTAGCAGGCCTAACCAGCAGGATAAGAGAGCAAGAAGACCAAGTATATAAAAAGGAGTGAATTTTTGTGTGGAATATATAGAAAACAACTGCAAGCAAGTAGAAACACTAGTAGAATTAAGATAAATTCAACAATACAGTATAATGCACAGTAGAGAGATACAATGCGGGGAGGGAGACAGGAGAAATGTTGGAGGGGAGGAAATCTGCAAGTAGAGCAATTTGGAAGCCCCAGACTCTTACAAAAGGCACTGGAAAAATACAGATTTGGCGCCAAATTCCCAAGGAGAGCAATTGTTTGGACCCTCACAGTGTCACCTCTTCCCCCAAAAAGCTTCACATCCAGTCAAACCCACAGCCATTTCAAATTCAAGCTACAGACTTTTCCCCTCTACTTCTCCCCACCCCTGTATGCAAATTGCTCATTCAGGAGAAATATCTCCAACCTTTAACTTCCACTAAGGAAAGCAGATCTCTGAGCAAGCAATCCCTTTCACAAAAATTGTCACGCAGCAGTCCTAACACCACCATCGTTTGGATCAAACAAATCAAGGGATTGCAATAGTAGCCACGTCCTTTCCAGATTTTGTACAGGATGTTCACTGTGATCTAAAGCAAGAAATCATTAACTTGCCCCTCTTGCACACCAGATTCTCCTGCTTGCTTCACCACATGGTATCTGGTCTCTTTTCGTTTTCCCTTTTCTTGCAACACCAGCACAGCTTGAGCTAATATTTAATTGGTTGCCAGGTCGGCGGTGGGTTACTGCAAGCTCTCTTTGCCAAGTAAAAGACTCAAAGGACCTCGCCCAGGAGTCAGCCTTGGCAAATAAGGCTGATGTGTGGCATTCTTTAGAGAGTACAGGAGTGCCAACTTGGCCCCGTGACTATAGGTTCCTGAGGCCGTGGGTGCCATGCAGCGTACGTGGCCCTGGCACCAAAATTTGTGGGTGTCTGGCGCCTTCATGGGGAATTCTGTGGGTGCTCGGGCACCCAGGGCCACAGGGAGTTGGCACCTATGAGAGAGTACAAGGATAAGGAGAGTAGAATTTAGGTACTGTTAGGCTCCCAATCGTTACATCATAGACCTCTGGAATCACAACTGATTCCTAAGCCAACTTTTTTAAAGTGTTCAAATGAATTTAAGGTAAAACATTATCACATAAATCAAGCTCGAATTAGCTTGTGAACCAGGAAGAACCTTTTTTTTTAGCACCCGAGGGCCACATCCCTTCCGGAGAATTCTGAGGGCCAGACAGAGAGAGGCCTGGAGGTCATAATTCAGCCTCTTGGCCTGAGGTTTCCTACGCCTGCTGTAAAGATTAAATACTATATTCAAATTTTAATTTCTCTTCCCCAATACTTCATTAGGGTTGCTATCATTAGGAATTGGGGTCATCTCCTCAAACAATAAGATAAATATCTTTTTTTTTTTATAAAGGAGGTGGAATTATTATGGCTTTGAGAGCCTACAGGTCTTACTAAAATTATTTCTTAGGGATGCAGAGTGCAGGTCTTAAGTCATGCCATTTTCCACATATGTATAATTCACCTGTTTTGTAATGTGCCATATCTTTTGCATTAACAACAATAAATACTGTAAGAAGAAGGTGTGAGGGACATCACAGGGTCTTTGCTGCTAGTGGAAAGGAGGGCAAAGAAACTGTGAAAGTCTTCTCCTGTTTATGGGTAAAATAAGAGCTTACTTTGCTGGGAAGACTTTGTTGGAGAGAAGCGCCACTGTTTGGAGAGATCAGCCAGCTGGGACCTGGCAGTTATGGGAGGTGCCTGGAAGGGCTTCACGCTGCACAAGGCCCAGTTCACAGTTCTTTCAAAGGGAGCCAAACTAAACACATCAGCTGCTGAAAACGGCAGGAAAGGAGGAGAGGCTGCTCTTGTCCTTGGTTCTGCTTGCAGGTTTCCACAGGCATCTGGCTGGCCTCTGTGAGAAGAGGACGAGAGGAGCCGGTGGCCTGATCCAGGCGGCTCACTCTTCTCTTCTTTTCCTTCCAAGCCTAATCTCTGTGGAGACCTGCGGCAGAACAGAAGAACTCCCCCCCCCCAAAAAAAAACCCCAATGCAAGCTACTGGTTTAAAATAAGGGTGGTTTGATTGATGAATGAGGATGAGCAAGCAAAAATAATCTGAGTGGTGGTGGTAGGATTTGGGTTTGTCTCAGCTCCTGTATTTTAAAGGGCTGGGAAGCAGCAGATGAAGGGAGCCCTCCATGGTTATGGAAGTGTACAAATTTGAACTTGAGAGCACACAAAAGCTTATTTTTATCCAATCCATTGAGGCAGTGACTGTTTTGAGCCAGAGTTTGGGCATGGTATCAGGCTAGATGACAACCAATACCTGAGGATTCAGCCCAGACAAGACTGTGAAGTGGTGTTCAATCTGTTTGAGTTGAGGCTGCCTTTCCCCCTAAAGTTCAGGTGGTGAATCTTTCTGGTCTCACAGGCCAGATGTTTATCTCACCATGCCTGCTGGTCAGCTTTGGCAGGTGAGTGGCACAACCCGCTGGTCAGCCATGTGTTTGATGTCGGGTGGCTGACACCTGTCTACAGCGATTGTTGAATGTATTGCACTGTACCTTTTGATGTTTGTAAACCACCTGGGAGCTTCGGGTGATGGGTGCCTGTACAAATGGTACAAATAAGCAAGATCCAAATGTTCTATTTTCATTTCATATATTTTTCATAATACTTATGGCTTATATTATTTGTTTTGAGGCAACATGAGGCATTCGTTAACCAAATTCCGAAAGTGGTATTTGCGTTAGCCTCTTGCACTAAAAACAACAGTCTTGTGGCCCCCTCAAGATTGTTAAATGCATGATGGAATGAACTTTTGTGGACTACAGTCTACTTTATCAAGACTGTTGTTTTCATTAAATAAAATGAAAGATTGTCTTCAGGGACGGACTGTTCTATGTTCTTTTTTAAAATGAAGAAGTGGATGAGAAAGAGTTCATCGGTGCCTTTTCAGAGAGTGCCATTTGGGTATCTTCTCCTTGCAGAGATTTAGCTATGGTATTCCACTTTATGGTGGCAATGAGAGTGTTTCCATAGCAACTCACTCATTCAGCTGCAGCTCTCCATAACCTCTGAAGCTCCTGAGGTAGGAAGAGTTAATTCTGGTTCTCAGCCGCTTCCATGGAGGACTGTCAGCAGAAAAAAGGATCGCTAAAGATCTCTGGTCTTAATTAATATTAATATTAAGGCCCCAAGGCCATAGTGATGAGCTCACTTAACTAATAACTCCAAACTGCTCTCTGCCAATGACAGCAGGATATATAACTCTCTCTCTCTCTCTCTCTCTCTCTCTCTCTCTCTCTCTCTCTCACACACACACACACACACACACACACACACACACCCCTAATATAAACATGCACAGGGAAGAGCCCTAGTGTGTTTTGACACAATGAGGTTTATACTTTTAGTAGAAGAGAATAGCATATTATTGGCAAGGAATTAGAGACTCCTTCTTTGAGTGGTTCAGTCTTTCTTTCCCCTCCCCTCTCACTACTCTAAAATTGTTCTGTTTCCTCATTTCCCACTCAGTTTATGGGAATGAAAAAGCATGTGGAGAATATCTGCTTCGTTTTGTGTAGGTAGGTGCAGGAAGTTGAGCTGGGCAGAGAGAGAGAGAGAGAGAGAGAGAGAGCGCACGCTAAAAAATAATCCACCCATCTATTGCCAATCAGCTGCTCAGACAAAGCCTTCGGGGAAGGAGGGCAGGTAGCTTCAAAGAGTATTTTCCAAAAGAAAATTCCTCTGTCTGTCCCTGACATGTTTCTGGCTAAGTGGCGGCTGCTTCCTGGCTTCCTCTGGGGCTGCTGCAGCGGGTCCTTTATTAGAGACAGCCGCCCTCTTGCTTAGCAAATTACTGATGTCACGCTCCCCGTGGCTTCACATCTGGAAGGGAAGTGTTTGGGAACAAGCATACTGGACATTTCCCCTGAAGTTGTTTCTTTATTGGAAAGGGAGTTTTATATGGTATCCATGCTCTCCCCCCACCTCCCTCCTTCATACGCACACCCTGAAGCTGCCTCTGAATCTTTGGAAGACACGCACAAAACGACAACAGCAAACAAACAAAAAACCATTATCCCTGGCAAAGAGAGGACTGGCTGGAGCCAGAGGACTTTTTAAAATGTGAACATATCTTTCGTCTTATCAGATCTGCATTGATGTTTATGACTGTACCCCTAGATTTACACAGGAGTTTGCACCAATGTTCCATTTTAAAGACATGACATAAAGCTTTTTCAATGCGTCACACACTGCAGGGTCTACCAATGCTACAGAGCAGGGATAGCAGACACAGTGGCCTCCAGATAATGTTTTGGCTTACAGTTCCCACCAGGCCCACCTAGCAAGGCCAATAACCAGGGGATGATGGGAGCTGTAGTCCAAAATATCTGACAGGCACCAGCTTGGCTATCCCTGGTAGAGAGAATAGGGTTCAGTCCAGAGACACACAGCCATGCCGAGCTGTGGCAAGATCCCTGGGGGTTCCAGGCACTCTGTGTTCCTTTGAGAATCAAGATGTGGCGAAGGCTGCTGTAGCTTTAAGAAATATGATTTATTCACATATTTGCACCTGAATTTAGATGGAGTGAGTCCAGATCTTCCAGCATGGTCATCTCAAGAGGGGCTTGTACCCACAGGAGCCCAAGGCATCTCTCCCAGCCAGCCTGCCCAAGATGGATCTCTCTGCCTTTGTTCTCCCTTCTTCTTCCCAGCACACCTTGCTAAAGACACTCTTTTCCTGCCACCTCACATGCACATCCTGTCACCTTGGCAACCTTTGTCTGCCCAGGTGCACAATTTCTCTTAAACAACAACAACAACAACAACAACAACAACAACAACAACAAGGTCATCAACATCTTTTGTCATGTTGATGGCTTGGCTGATCTCTGGCCCTTGTTCTTTCCTAGTTAGTTGCGCGTGTTGGGTTCAGTTGGAGAGACAACCGCGCATGTCCCACTGGCTTCCCGAGGATCAAGTGCTGATCTGTACTGTTTATTCTAGGGATCTCCTTGCTTTCAAGCCTCCCCTCCCCACAGCAGTTTTTGATCTTAAAAGAAATGTGTTGCCTTATTTTAACACGTTCCACTGAATGCATGGACATTTACAGGGCTTTAAACATGTTTAAAAGGTGGGCAAGCACACTTGAAGCCAGGGAGTTGGTGCAAGACAGACAATAAAATCAGTGGTCAATAAGTCTGTCCAATGCTTTGCAAACTGCAGAGAGCAAGCCAAGCTGGCTTTGCTTGAAGGAGGGGAAACAGGCCTGGGGTTTGTGTCGTGCCTTATTTCCTCTATAATACACTCCCTCTTGCTTTCATATAATTTAGATTGTTCCAGAAAAGCAGATAAACCCATTATGCCATATTAAAATAATCTTGTTGAAAAGGAATTTGGATTCCAGGCTCTTAATGGAGGATTTTCAAAGGGACTACAGTGTTCTTAGCTGTTTTTAAACCTCACCCACACCACTGTATTTGCACTTTGTATCAAGCCTCACATGATCTGCGTAATTAGATAGCCATGTATCCCGGGTTTACTTCTGACTGGCCAGGTTTGTCAGAGTCAATATTTATGCAGCATACATCCCTAATGCATCCTACTCACACAGGCAGGAATAACAATGATCTAGCATACGGCATGTGTTATCATATGATCCCTTTAAAGGAGACTCCACTATGTATATGTCAACATTTGTAAACCCAAGAGAGCAGGATTTAACTGGAGAAAGAGCTCAACCCTGGAATCTGTTTTCACTGCTGGGGGGCTCAGGCTGCATACACCTCCTACATTTAAAGCACATTATTTCCCCCAAAGAGTCCTGGGAACTGTAGTGTGCTGTGGGTGCTGGGAATTGTAGCCCTGTAAAGGGTAAACTACAGTTCTTGGGATTCTCTGGGGGACATCACGTGCTTTGAATCTTTGAACACAGAAAGCAGGAAGGGAGCATATTTGGGTTGATATATTTTGTCAAGGATGTCCTAAATGTGTCTGCTTCCATTCAGCTGCAGCATTTAGCCTGCAGCAGGAATAGTCAATGCACTGCCCGCCCACCAAGCCCCAGTCAGCATGGCCAATGGTCAGAAATGATGAAGAGAGGGAGTTCAACAGTATTTGGAGGGTTCTCTGCCTGTGATGCCCAGAGAGGTTCCCAACTCCAGGAAATGCTACAAGCCTTCCAGTTACAGGCCTGTGTGGCCATTCAGCAAAGGATTTTGGGTGGTGCGGGCAGGTCTTCCAGACAGGACCATCTTCTCCCTCATGATCCGGCTTGTCTTTTGATGTCCTTCTCCAGTTGGCAGCCGAGGAGAAAGGTCTTCTCTTTGATGGTGGGGTCAGCATCCGAGAGACAAACAAAGGGAGAGGAGCCAGCAGCACATCCCTCACATGACCACATGGGAGAATTGACTGTCTGAATAGGGCTACAAGAAGAACAAGTTTCAAGTTTGATTAAGGCCTGATCCAAATCTCTTTCCAAAACCAGCATCACATACCCTGCAACATTTATCCGATGAAAATAGCCATGTCCTATTCCATAACAGTAGTAATTTTATTATTTATACCACTCTGGGTGGTTTCCAACATATTTAAAAAACATAATAAAACATTAAACATTAAACATTAAGAAACTTATATAGATACTTATCTCCTTGAGTCGGGGGCTGCATAGCTCCATATCCTCCAACATTTCTCTGATGAAAATAGGGACGTCCTAAGAAAAAGCGGGACATTCTGGGATCAAATCAGAAACCGAGACGGCTTCTGTAAATCCGGGACTGGAGGGTCTGGCTTGAGGCTATTGAATCTGAATCTCTCGGGGTCGATTCCTGCATTCCAAAGACCAAACTCGGGTTCTACACAGAATGTAGATTTGTCAGGGAATTGTAGTCAGTCCTGGTTCTCTGACTAATGGGCCAGTACGATGTGTGTCTACTGCAGTCACAAGCCACTAAAAATGTTTGGGTGTGCACTTAAAAATGCAATGTGTGAAGCATCCTCTTACCATTTAAGAGATGGGTTGGTTTGTTCTTTGGCCGAGAGAACTTCACGTCTCCAAGGCTGTATGGCGAGTTCACTCTCTGCTCCCAAGCTCCCATATAGAATATTTCACCAGGAGGTAGGATTTGAAACCCCCCTTCTTCTATAAACTGTTTATAAACTTTTCTCTTCATCACTCTGGGAATATGATCGTGTTGAATATGTAGGACAGAAATGCCTTGAAGAAATAGTATCATTTACTATCGTTGTTGTTGTTGTTACAGTGCACAACCCGCTACTACGCTTTTTAACCAAACTCTACATCAATAACATTCCACATACATAACACAAATACAGTTAATAATTACACTAAGCAGCAGAAAATCACAATTGATAAATACAGTGTGACAGAAGTAGCCCCAAGGCCCAGCGTTTAATCTCAGGAAACTGAAACTCTGCACCCCAATTATTCAAGCATTGCTTCAACATACATTTGCCCCATGCTTTAGGCAGATGTTAATTTTAGTTGTTGTTAACGTTCACAAGAATAGGGCAGGTCCTTAAAACACATGGCTCGTAAAGAGCATCCCTCAAAGTTGTGTAGTGAAGATGCCAGGCACACCTCTGTGTATGCTTAACTGCTCCACGTGGACATTCACTTATGTATGTATGTATGTATGCATCCATCCATTGCTTTGTTCTTCTTGTTGTTGTTTTAATTAAGCTTTTATTTTTAAGTGCAAAGCTGTTTCGGGACTGGGCTGGGTGGTGGTCTTAATGACATTACAGGAGGGCAGCCAGTCACCAGTGTCGCTCCAGTGTACTTGCAGTACAGTATATCCCCCCAGCCACTCCCCAAGAACTCAACCCTGGAGATGACAGGTACATTTGTCTGGACTTGACACAGCAAGACTACTTCCAGGGAGACCCTTCTATAAGTCACACTGGGTCAGTGCACTTGGCTGTGAACCAGAAGGTTGGTGGTTCAAGCCCACCCAGGGACAGCTGTGCGCAGGATTCCTGCATTGTGTGTGTGGGGGGGTAGACTAGATAGTCCCTTCCAACTATATGATTCTAAGGCTTTTAAAAAGTTGCTCCTGTCCTTCTTTTCTGTTATTAATATTTTGAATGTTTCCCCTCCCTCCTTTTCATTGGAGGAAAATGTTTGCCCAAGAGTATTTTATGAAGATGATTCAGGCTAACAAGCAATGATTTGATATAAGAAAACAAAAAGGACCAGGCAAAGTGCAAGGAGTGCAAGAAATCCCACTATTACTAAACATGAAGTGAGTCAGGGAAGGATATATAAGTTTGAGCTGACCAGCCAAGTGTCTGTGGATGCCTCACAGCCAGGAATCAGGGAGCTTTTTGCGCTGAAAGAGGATTCATTCCACCAAGCCCCACCACAAACATTAATCATTCACTGCTTCCTAAGAAGATGGGGAAACACATTCTGCCCTTTAGTTGCCAAGTTACTAAGCGCTTCCTTTTTCTTCTTCGCCTTCCCTTGAGGTCACTTCAGGCCATCTTCATGTGAGTGTGGGGTGTGGAGTCCCACTTTCAGGAGGCAGAGGCAGCTGCTTCAAAATAAGCCTTGTGGTGATGCGCAAAAGGAATGATGCACGGAGATGAACATCAATGGGCCCACAGGGAAGCTCCTGTTTTAATTAAGACAATGGTGGCCAAGCTCTTTGGCAAGCATGCTGTAAGCTAGTGGTTCTCAGTGGGTGTAGAGCACCAAAACTGGTGTGCCTGGAGAGGATGGCAAGTGTGATGGGAAGATTCAGGAAGTATCAAAGAAACATTTCAACATTTCAGTGTAGTATATTACAGGCCTAGGGTTGCCACCTGTCCTGTATAATACAGCCTTGTCCTGTATTTCAGTGTAAAATGTTTCGTCCTGTATTGATACAGTTTTGTCCTGTATTTCAGGTCTCCCCCCACCCCACCTCTCTCTCTCTGCCAAGTTAGGGATCCTCTCCAAATGCATGTGTTTCATAGCTGTCAACTTTTCCCTTTTCTTGCGAGGAATCCTATTCGGAATAAGGGAATTTCCCTTAAAAAAGGGAAACGTTGACAGCTATGATGTGTTTGAAAGGGTATGTGAAAGGACATGTGTTTAAGCTCTGGGTGGCCATGCACAGGTACATTTACGAATTCATGCGTATGTTTGTGTGAGAGTGCATGAGTGCGCACATGTGAGAAATTCCGGAGGGGACATCCTGTTAGGCTGCAACAGATTGTAACGGGTTGCTTTGAAGTCACTTCAACACCAGATGGGGAAAAAATTGCCCCCAACTGCCCTGTCCTATATTTTGCCAGAACAAAGATGGCAACCCTTCGGGCAACAGCCATTTTGCGCATGTCCGATTGACATGCAACCACCAAGGCACACACTGTTTTCAGCCCCGGAAGAGGGGGGGGAAGGGGGCAGGGCAGGCTTACGCACAACCACTGATGAGCGCAATGACCTGGAATGCAGCCCCCATGCAAACAGGGAGTTGCCAGCATAGTATACTATAGTTGTATTACTATTATATGCAGAATATGGATAGAAAGGCTTCTCTGTGTTGATAAAGAGGTGAGAGGGGTTTTTTTGGTCTCCAGTTAGAACAAACATAAATGAGATTACCCAGCAATAGCAAACACATATCTCTCATTGAGTTTGTATACATACTTAAGGTACATATTGTAAGAGGCTCATTTATAATTATATTTTGGGAATGATTTGTGTTCTGTATTATTTTATACTTCCTAGATGGCCCATGATCATATTATAAAGTAGTTGTGTTATAAATCAAGAACGCCAAGGAATTGTTTCTTTTTGTTTTCCAATGTATTTCTTATCAATAAAAAATTCGGTGTGGCATAAGAAAATTTTTATTCTGAAAGTGTGGCCCAGAGAAAAAGTTTTGAGAACCCCTGGCATAAGCCAAGAACCAAAGGTAGGACTGTGCCACTTTGCTGTGCACTGCAGTACAAATACCCGAGGGTCTTTAGTGGTTTTGCAATTTCTGTACCGTAACTCATGGGCCCTTGTTAAATAGTGGGTAGACATAGCAGACGACACAGCGATTTCTCCAAAGCAGCTCTTTATTTGTAATCTGGAACAGAACTGAACAGCAAACAGCTCAGCAGGCCTGCTTTTATAGGCAGCCGGCTGTCAACATTGTCAGAACAACACCCCAGGGTTTCCCGCCTAAAATAACTGACGTGGACCTGAGTGAAAACTATACACACGATACTCCTGGTGGGCAGGGTGAGAACTTCAATACCTAACAGCCCTCTTGCACCTGTTCAAACATGCCAGAAATCCCTGCTGGCTGTGCCACTTTCCAATACACCATCAGTGTGTCTCATAAAAGCATCTGGTGGTAACAGCACAGGTGCCCTTTATAGCATGGTAGCTGCTTGGGAGCTCCTGTGTGGCTGGGGTAAAATCCAAGTGATTCAGCTATGTGGATGCATGCCAGCCATGAAACAAGCACCCTTTCAGGAGGAAGGAGTAAGGATTCCACAGGAAAGGCCTATTCAGTTTGCATCTATTCATGTTGCTGGGTCATTCAACCATTAACCTAGCCAAGAACTTTATTGACAAAGGGACTCCCATGCAGTGGACCCCCCTCAAGCATGAAGAAGGGAGCCACCACCAATGTGACGCTGGAAATGGTGGAGGGCGTGGTATGCAAGAGAAGCTCCCTCCACATGCGCCATCACTATAGTCTACTGATGAATTTCTTGTGATCATAAAGCCCTGAAAGAACCAACCATAAGCCCAATGGAGAGGCCTTGGGGAACACGAATACTTGCACAAGTGTGGAATACTACCCTGGTGGTCCATGCACATTTTAAACTGCAGGGCTAACTAGCACTGAAGCCAACTCTGTGCAAACTGGTTCCTCCGGTTTCCTACCCGCCTTCATATCACATTTGCAGACATCTTTGTAACGCAGAGTTGGTCTGCCGACAGGCCTGGTGCCTGAATCCAACTCTCCTTAGAGCCCACCCTTGGGCATTCTGCCATATTGCTTTTCTTTTTAATATATTTTTTATTGGTTTTTCACAATTGTATACATTTTAACTTTAACCATTTCAAACATTAAAACCTTCGGACCTCCCTCCCTGGGTTCTATATTTTAAATTAAATTTTCTGCATCTTTTACCATTATCCATCTATTGTATATCCATAGTTACCATAATGATCCTGCCATATTTCATTCTGCGTGCGGCATGTGACCAAGCCAGTGTGGACATTGCTGAGACAGGAGTGCAAACATGCTGGAAATGTGAGCTACAACATTTTGTTGCAGAACCTACTCGTGATTTCTTTTTAAGTAGAGACTGTATAATTCTGGATCTAATCCAGATACTTTCGCAGCTTCCCAGTTGTATAAATCTGGTGTGCTGAAACTTCCCAAGCCTGGAAACAGGAAAACCTACTGATATTTGCGCTTTCTGACTCATGCTTATGAAGATTTGTTCAAATAACCTGTATCTTATCATCGTTTGCAAAGCTTCATATCTGAAATAGGGTTGAGAGATCCTGGTCACCTTTTGTTTGTTCTACAGCCTCCTCATTGCTGAACAACCATTTTGGTGTCTAGCAGCAAGAAAGGAAAATGCAATTTAACTTAACTGGTTTACTGTGGCTTGAAACATCACCAGTAAAGGTCTGTTTCATTAAATACATAAACTGTGCTAACGCTTAGTTCACACAAGCAGCATGTATCAGGTGGCAAAACTGTTTCTGGACTATACCAAGACTGCAGGCAGAGGTGCTTCTCTGAATAACAAAACAAGGACACAAAAACCCCTCTACACATACAAAATCAGCATACAGTGGATGCTAATTGCTGGAGTCTTGATGTAGAAAGTGAACAAAGGTTGCTTGCATTCCCGAGTTCACTAACAGTTTTAAAAAGGCACAGCCCCACCCGAAATCCCTGTAGACATCAACAGGAGCATGGTGACTTCCCAGTGACAGAAATCAGAGACTTCCCCTGGTTAGGGGCAGTTGAAGAGCATATGAGATGGGTGGTCATTTGGCAACCTGAGCAGAGTGGCCAAATGAAAAAGAGCCGGGTCGTGGGAGACCTGCTGAGATTTCCACTGCTAAAGGAAACCTTGTCTTCTTTCCCTGCCCTAAGCCATGGTCTAATGAAGAGGTTGCCACTGTTCTTGTTTGCTTGCTGTCCAAATGCAGAGGTGAAAAAGAACTAATATGCTTAGATAATCAGTATTACCTTTTCACCTGACTGTGAAACCTGCTGCTAGGCAAGCCTTATAGGAAGACAAACAAAGTGCCTTGAACTATTTACTTATGAGAGAAAGAAAAGGCAATAGCCAGTTCTTTGTTTAGTTCAGCTTGCAGGTATCAAAGTGGATAGATCAGTTTAGTTTGCTGTTTGAGGGAGCTTGGCATCGTCAGTTCAGATGCAATATTTAACTGCTTTCACAGGCTACCAGCATGTCAGAGAGTTAAAGTCTTCCCTGATTCAAAGCACTGAGAGGCTGCCATCTCCCTAAGGCTTGTTTCCAACAACCAGGTTTTTGTAGGAGCCATCCGTTGCTGGAACTCCTGCTTGTGGGCAGAAAAGCAATTTCTCCTCCCTCTCCATCTTGGCACAGGAGAAATGCAAGCAATAATCACAGTGGTGGGGTGGGGGCATAACTGGGCAGTTTTCTTTTTTAGGTTTCTGTGAGCATAGATCTGGTGCAAAATATAGATTCCTGTGCATTTTTAAAAACATAAAAATAAGATTCTAGTCATGTAGAAGGTGTCATCACTCAGGAAGCAATATTTTGAAGACTACTTTCTCCCCGGGTAACCTCAACTTGTGTCATCGTCTGTCCCAAAATAAACTACGTGAAACCTTCCACAAAGTCCCACAAATAATGCACAATGCAATTTGCATTCAACACAAGCAAGTTAAAGCCAAAGAAGCAAATATGCACACATCTTACCAGTCTATTTAAATCACTGTTTTGAGCTTTGATTATTTTG